GATATAAAATCAATTTACAAAAATCAGTAGCCTTTCTATACCAACAAAGAACAGCCTTAGAAAGAATATAGGAAATAATTCCATTATTTATAGTTATCTCAAAAAAATAAAATACCTAGGAATAAGCTTAACAAAGGACATAAAAAACCTCTACAAGGAAAACTATAAACCATTAAAGAAAGAAATCAAAGAAGACTACAGAAGATGGAAAGCTCTCCCATATTCATGGATTGGTAGACTCAATATTGTGAAAATGGTTCACTACCAAAAGCAATCTACATGTTCAATGCAATTCCCATCAAAATCCCAATGACATTCATCACAGAGATTGAAATATCAATACTAAGTTTCACTTGGAAGCACAAAAGACTGCAAATAGCCAAGGCAATACTAAGCAAAAAGAGCAACGTGGGAGGTATCACAATACCTGAGCCATATATATATATATACTACAGAGCCATAACAATGAAAACAGCATGGTACTGGCACAAAAACAGATATGAAGACCAGTGGAACAGAATAGAAGACCCAGATATGAATCCGTGCAGTTATATCTACTTGATTTTTGACAAAAGCTCCAAAAACATACAATGGCTAAAATGTAGTCTCTTCAACAAATGTTGCTGGGAAAAGTGTATATCCGCATGCAGAAAACTGAAACAATATCCATGTCTTTCACCCTGAACTCAAAGTGGACTAAGGACCTTAATATAAGACCTGAAACTCTGAAGTTAGTGCCGATAAGAGCAGAGGAATTAATAGACATAGCAATTAGGCAATAACTTCCTTATCAGAACTCAAATAGCTCAGCAACAAAGAAATAAGATTGAGAAATGGGACTATATTCAATTAAAAAGCTCTGGACAACAAAAGAGGCTACCCCTGGAATGGGAGAAAATTTTTACCTGTTATATATCTGACAAGGGATTAATTACCATAATATAAAGGGACCTCAAAAAAACTGAACTCCCAAAAAGTCAATGACCCAGTGAAGAAGTGAGCAAAAGAACTGAACAGGGCTTTTTCAAAGAAAGAAGTCCAAATGGCCAAAAACACATGCAGAAATGCTCAATATCTCTGTCCATAAAGGAAATGCAAATCAAAACCACCTTAAGATTCCACCTCACTCCTGTTAGAGTAGCTACCATCAAGAACACAAAAAACAACAAATGTTGCCAAGGATATAGGGGAAAAGGAATCCACATACACTGCTGATGGAAATACAAATTAGTACAATCACCATGGAAACGGTATAGAGGTTCTTAAAAAACTTAAACTGCCAGAAAACTATATGATCCAGCAAAGGCACCTACACACCCATGTTTATTGCAGCATTGTTCGCAATAGCTAAGCTGTGGAAACAGCTTGTCATTTGCAGGTAAATGGATGGAACTGGAGAACATCATCTAAAGTGAAGTTAGCCCTGTTCAGAAGGTCAAAAGTAGCATATTTTCTCTCATATGTAGAATATAGACCTAATACAAATACAGCAATATTATGAAAAACAGGTCACTCTAAAGGAAGGTAACATATGAAAAGGGGAGGGTAAAAGAAAGAAGATAAGAAGGTGAACATGGTTGATGTACTCGCTATACAAAAATGGGTATATAGAGTTTCTAAACCTGTTGAAACCACGGTAAGAAGGGGACTAAAGTAGAAAGAAGAAAAATAGAGGAAATGAACCAATTTTGGTTATAATACATATGTGTGTGTGTATATATATATATATATATATGGAAAAGTCACACAGAAACTCCCTGTGTAGCTATCTTAAACAAGAAAAACTGCCATTTTCCTTTTTTTCCTTTACAAATATCAGAGAATAGGAGGGCAGAACAGGGCCTGCCTCAAGGGGTTAGTATCAGGGGGAGGAGGGAGAAGCTGGGCAAAGGAAGTGGGGGGTGAACATTGTCAAATACTGTGCACGCATGTATGTAAATAGAAAAATGATGCCTGTTGAAGCTATTTCAGGAATGGGAGGAGGTGAGGAAAAAGGAGAATGGTTTAGGGGGTGAATTCAAGTATGATACAGTTGATACATTGTAAGAACTGTTGTAAATGCCACAATGTATTGCCACCCAGCACAACAATAAGAAAAGGAAAAAAAAAAAACAAAGAACAGTTAAAAATAAATACAATAAAAAATTGGGGGGGGGCTCTTCTTCTGTAGATTCAATTTTAACAGTTTATCTTTTTTTGTGTGTGCCACTTAAATTGACTAATGGTATACTCACTTTTTCATGAGTTCTCCATTATTGGGCTAAAATTAAATGGATTTATCTTTGTGGATCCCCAGAGCGCTCTAGCCTTTGTTTTGTCTTGTACTGAAGTATTTATGTATAAGTTTTAGTTTCTCTAAATAGTAAGTAAAATAATGATGAATAATTTTTAAACAAAAGGTGGAAAGAAAGACTGTAACTCTGGTAGGTGAAACTAAGTGGAAGACAGTGAAGAAAAGTCTCTAATTAAGAGCAATATAGGAAGGAGTGGGAATTACACAAAGCAATAAGGTAGGAGTGAACCTGTGATGAAGGGTCTTGTAATCAAAGTTAAATATAATTTCTGTTTTCCTAAAATCTATGAAAATCCATTGAAGACTTTTGAGCTTGAAAAATCAATATATTCATATCTTTGAAAGGTTATTATGGCAGTATTGAGAAGTGACTGCTAGAGAAGTGTAGAGGAGAGATGACTATCCACTTGGGGGTTATTTATGAAACAGATGAAATGTACGCATGAAATTTTGATGAGAAAAGCATGCAGAACTGTGCAATTTAATTACTATGACAGAGGAAAGAGAAAGAAATCTCAAAGTGACTCCCAAGTTGAAAGGTTCAACAACCAAGTAGAGTTTATGGCAGATGAACCAAAAGCAGGATTGAACAAATTGCCACTGAAACAATTATAAAGTGTTTGCATGGAGATGTGGAGCCCATTGATAGAAGCTCCTATTTCTCTTTTGACTCTTGCAGCACTATATAAGTCCCACTACGCAGTTTATTTAGTGTTTTTGTTAATAGCTATACCCCAATGTTGCACCTAGATCTTCTAGCTTTTTGTCAAATGGCAGCTCGGGTCTTCTGAGAAACAAAGAGAAAAAGGGTAGACCTGAATTCACTTTATTTACTCTGTGACTGAGGACTATAGCTACTCAACAATTCTGCATCTCTTGACCTTACAGAATGAATCAGTTCGAAGAATTATTTCAAATGATTCTTTTCACATTTTCTTCTTTGTATGGCAGATATCATCAAGGTAAATTTCAAACAATATAATATTGCATACAAATACACAATTAACATAGAATATGTAGATGGGTGAATACTAAACCTACAGCCACTATATCTATTACAGATATATCTACCATAATAGAGATAAATATTTTAAAGCAACCTTCTATAAATCAACACAAAAGATTTATTTTAAAAAATTGGTTAACATAAAGAAGAAAATTATATTAACTTAAAACTATTAAAAACATAATGGGAGTAAATGTCTTAAGATATATCAAATGTATGGTTATATAATTGATTCTTAAATTTAAAGTAACAGAGTGTGAATATTATAGAATTTCCATATATGTGTGTATGTATATATAAATTATACATATTGTGTATATATATATACATACATGTATATGAATACAGCATAAAAATGAACCAAAAAGTGGGAAGGAGGGTGGTAGTTAAGAAAGAGGAATATAGTGTGAATTCGATCAAAGTCCATTGTATACATGTTGCAAATACCACCATGATACCCCTTTGTACAATAAATTTATGCTAATAAATTTTTTAAAAAATAAATAAACCTTAAAATGATACAATATTACACTTGGGACTTATCCTTATGGATATATTTGATTAATCATACCAGTTTCATCATTACAACAAAAAAGCTTCAAAGGAGACCCAGGTAGCTAAAAAATCACCAGGATAAGAATAGTGAGTGACAATGAAAAACAGATCAGCAAAGCACAATTTTCCAAATTTTCATTAAAATCTTTCATTCATGGAGAGTACTATGGAATTCCTTTTGCTGGTAAATGGGAGTATAAACTCAGAAACTTTTCGTAAATCACAATGTATAAAATGCTCTTAAATGATCCAAACTTTATCTAAGATATTTTATCAAAAAATCTGACCTATCCTGAACTATTTTTGAAAGAATCCTGACCTAAGCTACCTGACCTATTTAAAGTGATAATGCTTCAAAATATAAAGAGGAACACATTTTTCTGAATATCTATTAAATTGAGGTTGTGAGGGAATTCCAGATCCCACAGGTATAGACAGAATATGATTTATGAGATAGATTATGTTACCTTTCTAAAACCTACTGTAGCCCCAAGAACTGTAGTTACGGAATTCCTACATTGCCAGGCTCTCAGGGTTATATCAGGATTTAGTAACCGTTGTATGTGAAGATGTTTGTCCCAGGCATATTTAACAGAAAAATCTAGGTTTACTCTCTTCTTTTCTTCTTTGTTTAAAAGTTTAGTTCAACTTAGTTTTTGAATTAACATTTTATAATAAATTTGATCACTGACAGCAACTTGGTGTACATCTGGAATAAGCCAAGACTTGAAATGACCCAGAAATGAATGCACTCCTAAGTCAATTGCTAAGCATATGACTGTACCTGTGGGGCTCTGCATCTGTTTTCTTCCATTTCCACCTTTGTTGAAGAGGAATTATCATTTGCATAATGTGTAATACGTATTGTGTCCCCTCACACACAAGTTTTGAGTAATAAAATAACAATTTTGAAAGCTAAGAGCTAACTTTTATGAGGATTTCTATACGCCAATCAATTTCCAAATATTTTATAAATATCGTTCAAGCCATTTTCACAATAACTCTGAAATAGTTATAATCTAATAGGTATATACTTTTTATTTAGAAAATTTATGTTTTAAAACACATTTTGGGCAAGTTATGCTGCATGACCTAATCATAGACCAACCCTCAATTCTCCTCTCATCACCAAGATTGACACATTACCTCAGTGACAATGGTAGAAGTGAAAACGCTTTGGTCATAGGTCCACCCATCCAGGCACGGCTCTGTCTCCAGCTCAGTGTTATTCATGGCTGACACGTTGGAATCTAGGAGTTGCCACTGGGTCTGGCGGAACCGACGACATTGCTCAGGTTTCTGGTTTGGACCCACTGGGATGGAGACCCTCAGCAGGGCATCAGCTGTCAGGTTTATGGTGATGTTGGCTGCAGACTTGGGATTGTCAAGGAGGTGGACATAGCAGTGGTGAGCAGGGATGGCTGCTGTAAAGTTCTCCATGAAGTCATGAGGGGATGACAGCAAATTTAAAAATGTCAAAATAAGCATAGACAAAATCTGAAACTTTCCATTGTGCCCAACATGTCGTAGAAGTTCTTCAAAACCCATGGTAGGTCTGAGAGTATCAGCTGTAGAATCATAAATTTTTCAGGATAGAAAGGACAATTTAAAGAAATCATGAGTTAACTGATTAAAAATTGTTTCTTAATTAGAAATTTAGAAAACTGAATTATTGAAATATTATTTTTCAATCAAGTTTACTTTTCCTAACTTTTTTTTTATTATTATTCATATGTGCATATAAGGCTTGGGTCATTTCTCCCCCCTGCCCCCACCCCCTCCCTTACCACCCACTCTGCCCCCTCCCTCTCCCCCCTACCCCCTCAATACCCAGCAGAAACTATTTTGCCCTTATTTCTAATTTTGTTGTAGAAAGAGTATAAGCAATAATAGGAAGGAACAAGAGTTTTTGCTGGTTGAGATAAGGATAGCTATACAGGGCATTGACTCACATTGATTTCCTGTGCGTGGGTGTTACCTTCTAGGTTAATTCTTTTTTCATCTAACCTTTTTTCTAGTTCCTGGTCCCCTTTTCCTATTGGCCTCAGTTGCTTTAAGGTATCTGCTTTAGTTTCTCTGCGTTAAGGGCAACAAATGCTAACTAATTTTTTTAGGTGTCTTACCTATCCTCACCCCTCCTTTGTGTGCTAAAGCTTTTATCATGTACTCAAAGTCCAATCCCCTTGTTGTGTTTGCCCTTGATCTAATGTCCACATATGAAGGAGAACATATGATTTTTGGTCTTTTGGGCCAGGCTAACCTCACTCAGAATGATGTTCTCCAATTCCATCCATTTACCAGCGAATGATAACATTTCGTTCTTCTTCATGGCTGCATAAAATTTCATTGTGTATAGATACCACATTTTCTTAATCCATTTGTCAGTGGTGGGGCATCTTGGCTGTTTCCATAACTTGGCTATTGTGAATAATGCCGCAATAAACATGGGTGTGCAAGTGCCTCTGGAGTAACCTGTGTCACTGTCTTTTGGGTATATCCCCAGGAGTGGTATTGCTGGATCAAATGGTAGATCTATGTTTAGCTTTTTAAGTAGCCTCCAATTTTTTTTCCAGAGTGGTTGTACTAGTTTACATTCCCACCAACAGTGTAAGAGGGTTCCTTTTTCCCGCATCCTCCCCAACACCTGTTGGTGGTGGTGTTGCTGATGATGGCTATTCTAACGGGTGAGGTGGAATCTTAGCGTGGTTTTAATTTGCATTTCCTTTATTGCTAGAGATGGTGAGCATTTTTTCATGTGTTTTCTGGCCATTTGAATTTCTTCTTTTGAGAAAGTTCTGTTTAGTTCACTTGCCCATTTCTTTATTGGTTCATTAGTTTTGGGAGAATTTAGTTTTTTAAGTTCCCTATATATTCTGGTTATCAGTCCTTTGTCTGATGTATAGTTGGCAAATATTTTCTCCCACTCTGTGGGTGTTCTCTTCAGTTTAGAGACCATTTCTTTTGATGAACAGAAGCTTTTTAGTTTTATGAAGTCCCATTTATCTATGCTATCTCTTAGTTGCTGTGCTGCTGGGGTTTTGTTGAGAAAGTTCTTACCTATGCCTACTAACTCCAGAGTATTTCCTACTCTTTCCTGTATCAAGTTTAGAGTTTGTGGTCTGATATTAAGATCCTTGATCCATCTTGAGTTAATCTTGGTATAGGGTGATATACATGGATCTAGTTTCAGTTTTTTACAGACTGCTAACCAGTTTTCCCAGCAGTTTTTGTTGAAGAGGCTGCTATTTCTCCATTGTATATTTTTAGCCCCTTTGTCAAAGATAAGTTGCTAATAGTTGTGTGGCTTCATATCTGGGTCCTCTATTCTGTTCCACTGGTCTTCATGTCCGTTTTTGTGCCAGTACCATGCTGTTTTTATTGTTATTGCTTTGTAACATAGTTTGAAGTCAGGTATTGTGATACCTCCTGCATTGTTCTTTTGACTGAATATTGCCTTGGCTATTCATGGCCTCGTGTTTCCATATAAATTTCATGGTAGATTTTTCAATCTCTTTAATGAATGTCATTGAAATTTTGATGGGAATTGCATTAAACATGTAGATTACTTTTGGGAGTATAGATATTTTTACTATGTTGATTCTACCAATCCATGAGCATAGGAGATCTCTCCACTTTCTATAGTCTTCCTCAATTTCTTTCTTCAGAAGTGTAAAGTTTTCCCTGTAGAGGTCTTTCACATCTTTTGTTAGGTTTACACCTAGGTATTTGATTTTTTTTGAGGCTATTGTAACTGGAATTATTTTCATGTATTCTTTTTCAGTTTGCTCATTATTAGTGTATAGAAATGCTAATGACTTTTCTATGTTGATTTTATATCCTGCTACCTTGCTATAGCTATTGATGATGTCTAGAAGCTTCTGAGTAGAGTTTTTTGGGTCTTTAAGGTATAGGATCATGTCATCTGCAAATAGGGATATTTTGACAGTTTCTTTACCTATTTGTATTCCTTTTATTCCATCTTCTTGCCTAATTGCTCTGGCTAGGAATTCCAGTACTATGTTGAATAGGAGTGGAGATAGTGGGCATCCTTGTCTGGTTCCTGATTTTAGAGGGAATGGTTTCAGTTTTTCTCCATTAAGTATAATGCTGGCTGTAGGTTTGTCATATATAGCTTTTATAATGTTGAGGTACTTTCCTTCTATTCCTAGTTTTCTTAGAGCTTTTATCATGAAATGGTGTTGGATCTTATCAAAGGCTTTTTCTGCATCTATTGAGATGATCAAGTGGTTTTTGTCTTTGCTTCTGTTGATGTGGTTTATTACGTTTATTGATTTTCGTATGTTTTTCCTAACTTCTTAATTAAGAGTTATAAGCCTTGGATTGTTTTCCTATCACTGAGACCAATATGTGACATAGGGACAGAGACATAATGACAGAGATTTTAAGGAGGAAATGTCACTGAACAGGCAACTCCTTTGCAGTCATTCATACCATTTTTAGAAATTATATTTAGTATGCAATATTATGTGTTTATCTCTGCTCACAGGAAATACTCTTAAATATATTAACTACAAATAATTGCATACATTCAAGGTAAACAATGTGGTAATTTTATAATGTTGCATAATGATTACTATAATAAAATTAATTACATCCATCAAGATGTATGCCACACCTTAGATCCCTAGACTCGCTCATTTCGTAACTGAGTTTATACCTTATCTACACTCCCCCAGCACTTGATGAATACTATTGTCTTTGCTTATATTCCTGCGATGTTTTAGTTTGCATGTGGAAGTTATATTACACAGTATTTGCCTTTCTGTACTTGACTTATTTCATATAGAATAATGTGCTCTAGGCTCATCCATTTTGTAAGAAATGGCTGGATTTCCTTTAAATAATATCCTATTACATATAAGGTTAATTATATATATAAAATATGTATTATTTACATATACTTGTCACATTCCTTATCATTTATATGGGAAGGTACATTTAAAAGTGTTCAATATGTTTAATTATCAGTAAAATGCAAATCAAAACCACAATGACAAGTTAACTCATACCTTTTAGGGTGGCTATAACCAAAAAGACAATGAATAACAAATGTTGATTCAAGGCTCTGAGTTCAACTGCACTGCCTTAAAATAAAAATTTAAAAGATATTTGTCATTCATTCTAAAAATGTCATTTATGCATATAAATCCAAAGGAACTCCATGCTTATTGCTGAATTATTCACAATAGAAAAACTATGGAAACTATTGACTACCTATTCTCAGGAAATAATTTGTATGAAAATTGTGTACTCTTGCCCTGTTGAAATTACATATGTGTGTAAATGAAAAGAGGACATATGTTGACATATGACATAATTATATAAATGCAAACAAAATGCAAATGCATACTTTCACAGGGAAAAATAAAAATCCAAAGTCTCTTCCCTCAACATTAGAGGGTCTGTTGACTAGTTCAACAGAATAATCTTTGTAAATCTACTTGGTATAATAGTAAGGATGTCAGGTGATGAGATAGATGAAGGCATCAGATTTAAACCTAGTAAGCTGGGTAAATGATTAATAGCAATGTGAAGGACACAGCTGAGAAAAACAAGAATCATGCATAATGACTAAATTAGCAGTCTGAGAAGTGTGTCAAGGGTAGAGCAGTTATAGGACTTTAAGACACGTACTTTCTCAACTTCACATTTGAATTTGAACTATTTATAGAGTTAGGTGAAACTCTAAGTATGTGAGGTGAAAGACATGGCAATTACACTGATTCAATTATTCTACATTGTGTTCATAAATTATACCACCAGTTTTATTCAAAAATACATATAACTTTAAATTCTCAAATTATAGCTTTAAAAATTAAAAGGACAGAAATACAGAACAAAAGCCATTGAACTTAAGAAAGAATGTCACCTGTAGTCTCACAGTTTATAAGGTAACAATGTAAAGTACTAAAACAACAAGTGTCTTATTCTTGTTAACTGCTCCCTATTCCCTACATACCTGTAGCACAAAGGCAACAACCAACTTCCTCACCTTTTCTCTAAGTCAAGTTCTTATTTGAAAATTGAGAACTCTATTCAACATTTTCATGCTAGATATCAATTACTATGCTGACATAATAAAAAAAAATAGAAACCTACCTTCCTAAGACATCTGCTAAGGAATGTGTCTAACAGGGAGAGAGCTAAGAACAGCAACAAAATTCATATGTAATGACTAAATTAGCAGTCTGAGAAGTGAGTCAAGGGTAGGACAGTTAGAGGACTTTAAGATATCTACTTTTCTCTCCTGCATCATTTCAACATATGCCATCTACAGAGTTAGGTAAAACTCTAAATATGCGGGGTGAAAGATATGGCAATTATAGATTTAATTATTCTACATTATATTCATGAGTTGTAACATCAGTTTGTACTGAAAAACAATATACAACTTTGTCAAGTTACAATTTAAAAATATAGAAAGAAAGCCATTGAAATTCAGCAAGAATGTCACCTGTTAGTCTCAGAGTTTATAAGGTAACAATGTAAGGTATAAAACAAGAGCTGTCTTATTCCTGTATCTGCTC